AAATGCAGAACCCGCAGTAGGCTCTCTGCCGCCTGTACACTCCCAGGTCTCGATTGCAAAGATGTCCCACTAGAAAAACAACAGGAACTATAATAAACGCTGCAGAATAAAAGGGGAGATTTAATAGTGACAGTAAGACCGTAAAAGTAAGAAAAACCTATAGGCGGTTTTGACAGAAATATATAGTCATTCATTTGACCTAATTTAGAAAAACTCGGGGGCGACGGCGGCTTTACGGCCCATCAAGGCAAAGGGTAGCCATAGGTATCAGCATTGATTCATATAAATCAATCTGGATACTCCTGCTTTGATTTTTATTAACTAAAAGATGACCGAACGACAATCTGTAAGAAACCGCATATGTAAACGTCGGAAGCAAGCTGGAACGATACTGTGGAGGTTAGAGAACAAATATAGTCACAGTTTAAGTTAAAGAAAGTTAGCAGGCAGGACACAGACCGGCTGCAAACTACACGCGGGAACTCAGCTTGTTTATCAACGTTTGCTGTATAATCAAACAGGTCTTTGAGGTCCTTGCTAACTCTGGTCAGTAGTCAGTCGAACTTTCGAGATATTTCAACATGGGGATCGTCGAGCAAGAGGTGGTAATTCGTGGTCAGGGTATGCTGAAAGGGGTAGGAACTGTATGACTGAGGCAAATGTCAGGACGTTTGAGGTCGTGACACTAAAGATAGCTTGAAAAAAAAGATTTTTTCTTGAAATGTGTCATATGTTCCACAGCTGCTAATAATAGCAGGTCGATTTTGTGCGCGTCGGAACCCTACGAAAATGCCGCATCTGCTTGCTTCAGCCTCCATTACTTTCTGGCGTCCCACATCAACGTTAATTTGGCAATGAAGTTAACAAAACGTATGCGGATACGCAAGTTTCAACTCTTAGCTTTTGCCACTGTCAATAACCTGAGAAGATGGCACGTTTGCTTAACTTTCCGAGCCTACAGTACTTTCTGGTGCCCCAAGTCGAGTTAAATCGGTATGAGTAGGACTTTCGTCCCAGAGCCGTTCATCTCGATTGAGTATGTTCTATTAGATACAGTTTTTCGCTTGCGCACTTCCTAAAGATTGACTTCTGGCAACTGTATTGGGGATGAGCAAGTTGCAGCGTCAACCTCAATACCCACCAAACGCAAACAGACCATCGAGGTAGATATAGTCAACGCAGGCGGGCTGATTTCAAATTTGAGAATGTGTTTTGTAATCTTCCGCATACCCATGCGGATAATCAATAATTTTTCAGAAAGACCAGAGAAACCAAATTCTTTTTGATTTCTTCTCGGGTCTTCACAGGGATTGACATTCCGAGATATGCGCCCAAACTGCAAAGTTTCGGGGATGATCCGGGCCCAACTTACATGTTTCTGCGCGTACGATCGATGCTCGCTGCTTCAGGCTGTATGATCCCTGACGACAAACAATTCGGGAAGACGAGACCGCTAGCCCATTTGCTTCATTGTCTTCTTTAAAGCGTTAGATTTAACTCATGCATACCCGCGATACTCATGATATCAATAGAATACGCCGTCATGATATGAGCTTACTATTACACGATTAACAAGCGCTATCTTTTTTTCACAACAACCTCCTCCAATCGCTTCTGTGCAAAAAAAACTACATTCGATCATCCTTATAGCCAACCAGTGTGCTCAACAAGACCTTCGGGAAGTTTTTACTTGTACAAGATGCGTCTACTTCACATCTGGAAACCAATATATTATGCGTTTCGAAACTTACAAATACAGTGCAAGCGACGTGTACAGCAATCATTGCCGCAAAATGCACGCTTTAAAACCGGATTTCTGACCAGAATGCAATCCGATGAACTTACAACTAGTAAATATACCGGTACTCAGTTGTTCCCATAAAAAGGGTAACTAGGACATCTTCGTTTTAGTAGGCGTTGTTTGTCAGGATTTTGCAATAAGTTGAACGCGTCTACAGACTGCTCATCAAGGCAAATAATGGCAGGTATCGATCAATCGTTTTGTCGGACATTCAAAACAGGGATGATGACTGGACCGTACGCGTCAAAGGAAAGCAAAATGAGGAGATGTTCGGACATCGTCAACTGGACACCCGTTTTGGAATGCAGCATAAAAACTTCATTTCTAAAAAGAAAAACTACATTTTTATGGCATGAAGACAATCGGATTGGCTTGAGCACGTTTGTTCTTGCCTATACCTTGAAAGGTTAGTGGATTTAATAATAAGAAGGGCTTTGGTTTGGGAAACTGCCCTCTTAGTT